CTGCTCCTCCCCCAGCTGTGGCCAGGGCATCTTTGTGTTGGCACAGCTTCCTGGGCTGGGGGAATAAGCAGAGAGGAACCCAGCCAGGTCCTTACCTAGCCAGAAGCCTCCTCCCTTCGGAAAGGGAGACATTTGGCTCACAGCTGAAGTGACTACCACACAGATGGGCCTTGGGTGCCCCGTGGCTCCCCTTCTCAGGGGGACACAGAGGAGAGGGCTGGGGCCTTATGTTAATGGTGGTGTTGGCAGGGAAACCACCTCAGCTCTTGAGTTTAGCAGAGAAGGATTTCAGAGCCAAGAACGCGAATTTTAAGAGAAAGTTTATTTAGAAACTTACAGAAGGGCCCTTGGAGCTTAGGAGAAAGGCGGAGGTAATGCATAGTGTGGGGGCGGGGGGGAGAAAAGGCTCCTAAGTCCTTCCTCTTAAGGGTTTTAAAGGCTGGGAGTTTAGGGGAGGCTCTCAATAGAATATTAATCAGTTTATGCTGATGCACCAAAATGAGATTTATTCCCCTAACTTCACCTGTCCTTGGATGTGGCTGGTATAAATGGCACTCATTGGCTGTGTTATCTCTCTTCCTGAGATTTTAGCTCTTTATCCTCTGGTTGGGGAGACGTGCAAACCACTTACTCTCAAGCGTCCTTGGCCAGGGGAGATGGGATGCCGTGATTTACTCGATGGCTGGCTGTCACCTGCTTGGCCATTTATCTGTCTCGGTTTCCCTGTTCCACTTGTGCTGGCTTACTAGTCTGTCTCGCAACTCCCCAGCCCCCGTGGCCTCCTTAAATCAGAGCGTGTTAGAGGCAGAGGGAGGGGGCTCAGTCCCAAGATTTCTTTACAGGTTTCTAAGGCAAAGAAGATGGGAAATGAGGCAGGTAGGCAGGGGGCGCTGCGGCCAGGCTCCCCTCCAGCATCCCTCACTGCCTCTCCCTGAGGCTGGTGGTAAGACGGCATTGGGGGCGGAGCAGGCCCAAACCCAGCCGCCCCACCAGGAACTGACCCAGGAGCAGGAGGAGTGGGCTTGTACCTGCTGAGTCCCCATCCTGGGGCTGCTATCGTCGGATGGGAGGCCGGGGAGGAGCCTCATTCCTGGAGTGGGCAAGGCTCCTCCGCGCTGAGCATGGAGCTGAGGTGAGAAGAGGGATCTGGTGTATGACACAGTCAGGGTAAACAGAGTCCTGGCTGGGCCTGGGGGACACGGGGCCCCACCGTCTGCAGGTCCTGTCCGTGCTCCAGTGGGCACCTGGTCAGGCCGTCAGTCCGAGGGGCCCTGGCACGCCTGACAGTCCTTCATGTCCTCAGAGTAGTGCTCGATCTGGATGGTCATGGTGTGGAAGTTGAACTTCCCCTGTAGGCGGGCGCTGGCTGCCTTCAGCACAGCCTGGGCATCTGTGTTCTGAGCTGGGAGACAAGAGGACACACCAGAAAAACATTTACTCACTCGTGGCCCCTTAGAAACAACCAGGAGCCCAACTCTCATGCCCTACCCACAGCAGAACAGGATGCCTGACCATGAACACTAAGATTCCACCCCTGTGCCCCCAGCCCCAGCCCCAGGTCCCGAAAGAACAAGAAGGGCACTGGCTTTTAGGCTTTCCTCTACGCCCCCTCCACTCCCCACCCTCAGTTTCTTCATCTATAAATGGGACTGTGATGATCAAATGAAATAATGCGCACAAAGCACTCCGCATGGGGCCGGGTTCCAAGCATGGGCACCGCCAGCATCTGGGATTGCCTGGACCCGTCAGGGATGCCCGGGCCTCTCTGGCTGCCCCTCTCCCTCCCCCCACCCCCAGTGTCCCCACCACTCACCAATGGCGATGTGGACAGAGAGCACAGGCTGGGTCACAGTCAGTGCCCAGATATGCAGGCTGTGCAAGGCTTCCACCCCCTCCACTGACAGCAGCAGGTCCCGCACAGCTGTGAAGTCCACGCCCTTGGGGGTACCTGGGGACAGCCGGGAAGGGGCTGAGGGAAACTGCTCCCTCCCACCCATGCTGGCTCCCACTCCTCCAAGGTCATCTCAGAAGAGCACCTCGGCCAGCAGACCCGCTGTTACCCCACCGCCCATGTGGTCTCCATCATATCACCTGTTGTGTTTTCCTCTTAATACTTAACACTGAAATTCTCTTGTTTGTTGGTTTCTCGTCTGTCTCCCCCTCTAAAATGGAAGCTCCATGAAAGCAGGATAGTCTTTATTTTTTATTTACCACCCTATCCTCCCCAGTGTCTAGAACACTGCCCAGCCCATAGTAGGTGCTCAATAAAAAGAGGTTTTTCTTTTTTCCTGGGAAGCTGCACCTACGTGCGGCATCATCATTGTCACTTTGATCTGGGTCAGTCACTTTTTCATGGAGGAAAAGCTCTGACCTGCAGCTGGACATTCCTACTGACCACCAACCAGAATCCAGATGACCCTCCCACACAGAGACCCTGACCCCAAGACCTGGAGCACAAGAAAGCCGGACGAATAGTGGGGTAACTCAGGGCAGACCATTTGCCACTCACTACCTAGCACCCCTCCGAGTCCAGCCACATCCTCCTGATGCAGGGGCCTCGGCAGCCCCACTCAATGCTAACCGTCTTTTTCTGAGCCTCCGTCTGTCCCCCTGTGCAATGGGAAGCATGATCCTCAACCCTCTCTCTGCCTGAGGAAGGCAAATAGAGACTGAGGAAGTGTGTGGGGAGGAGCTAGAGTGCCAGGGGCTAACCCAGAAACCGCCTGATTAGGCAAGAAGGACCACCTCAGCTGGGAGGAGGCACCCTGTGCCTAGGGGGAAGGGAAGGCACAGCCCAGGGGACATTTCCAGGAATGGCCACCCTGAGGGCCCAGCTCCGTGCCAAGACCCGCCTAGGGCCCTAGGCTATGCCGGCTCCAGACCCTGGCTCCCCACCAATGTGCTGGGATCCAACCCTCACCGGGGAACTTCCATGAGAGCTGGAGAGCCAAGAGCAAAAAGGGAGCCCCACGCCCGGTTACCTTCCATTAGCACCAGGATCACATCTCTCAGGATGGTCAAGGTTGTCCCCAGGACCAGGATGGAGAAGATGAAGGTGCAGATGGGGTCTACGTACTTGTACTCTGGCTGCAGGAAAAAGGGGAAGGCGGAGGTAGGGTTCAACATCCTCACCTCAGCCTCACAGTGCGTAGGGAGGAGGGGCTCTCTCTGTACCAGGGTGGGCATGAGCCTTACCCTGGCCCTGCCTCCCAGCTTATTCCACACCCAGAAGGACAGGCACGCCAGACCACAGTTCAGATAAGGCGTAGTCCCTTCCCACCTCCTTGCCACGGGGCTGAAACATGGACAGATCTGAGTGGAATCTTAGGCACCATCTAGTCCATCACCCCTATTTTGTAGCTAGGGAAATTGAGGCTCAGTTAGAGCAAGGGACTCACTCTTCATCACACAGCTGGCAAGGGGTGGAGCCAGGCTTCAAACTCAATGCCCGGCCCTTTCCAATATACTGCACTGCCTCTGGGTGACGGGCAATGCCCAGGCTTCGGCAGCACACAGTGCTGGTTTGAATGTGGCTCCCCCACTTGCTAGCTATGTGATGCTGTGCAAGTCACTGAACCTTTCTGAGCTGCAGAAAACACCAGAAGTTAGAGGAATGCTCCTTCCCTCTCCCCACCCTTTTGCCAGGAGCTAGAAAGAGGGCTAGAATCTGGAAAGCGTCCTCTGCAGGAGGGTCCCTTCCTACCCCACTCCCCAGCCCACTCCCTGCGGCCCCCAGCTCTGACCTTGAAGTATAAAATATAGGCTGCCACCAGGACCCCCAAACTCTGCAGCAAGTCTCCGATCACATGGATAAAGGCAGCTCGGACACTGGGGTTCTCCTGCTGCTGGGTGGTGTCTTGGCTGTGCCCTTGGCCGTGGCCGTGGCTGTGTCCGTGCCCTTGGCCGTGGCTGTGTCCATGGCTAGACTGGTGAAGAGTCAATCCCATTCTACGGAAGTGGAGACAACGCCAAAGGGCTCACTGAGATAGAGGGCAGAGGCTTCAGATCAGCCAGGTGCAGGCTACTCATTAGGGCTGGCCTCCCCGTGGGGCTAAAAGCCCAAAGCCCCAGACTGCACGACCCCTTTGACTGTGTGAGGAGCCTGACCCAGACCCACGAGGCCTTGGTTCAGGGTGCCACAGGAGAACGGGCCCAACTCCAGCGCCAGGCTGAATCTGGGCCCAAAGATGCCCCAGTGCCTCGTCTCAGAGCAGAACACCATGCAGTCATCAGCACTCCCCTCCCCACCCCCCGCTGTGCCACAGACAGGGAAGCCGAGTCATAGAGGAGTGGTTTGCTCCAGGCCACTGAACAAGGGAGAGAGAACCCACATAAGACAGCTGCGCTATACACCCTGCCTCTCACTGAGACCAACTTCAACCACATCCACTAGAAAAAGAACTTGGACTCTTCCCCGAGGGACATCTGCTCCTGCAAGAACTAGACTAACCCCTTCCCACTTCAGGTATGAAGCCTCCCAGGCTATTCACCAACACATGTGGGGTGGAGTGGAGTGGAGTGGGGTGGAGTTGATGCTGCCCAGATTTACAGTTCCTGATGGTCTGGGCCCAGGCCTAAGGCAGAACCCAGGTGTTCCAGATGCTAGAGCTCAGACCGTTAGGAAAATTCTGTTCCTGTAGCTCAAGCAGGTCGAACTTCCGGCCCACAAGGAATATTTTTCCGTCCAGCCAATATAACGGTATGTCAGAAACGTTTTAATAAAAATTCCTGTTATACATAATTATTAATAACGAACGAACTACAACGTTCGCTAATGACTGATGACTACAATCGTGTTGCATTCATTTCCTTTATGTGCCTTATGCACAGGCGCACCATTTCTCTCCACTAACACTAGCAGCAAATATTTTAGCAGCCGATTGCCACGTCATTACTCTTGGACGGACTTGTTTGGTGTGCGCAACAGGAAATATTTCGCTTTCGGAGAATAAGAAAAATAGGTTTATTCGCGTTTATGCTTATTAATTTGTGTAGTTTCTCAGTGTCTGGTAAGTTAATGTTCAAGAAAAAAATATTTATTTTTATTAAAATGTTCTATTATTTTATGTTAACGATGACTCATTTATTTCAGCCCTTTGTATTCAGCATGTCTCTATCGAAATGAGCCTACGTTTCTCTGAAAAGTGAAGCTGTTGTTTTGTTGCAGCCACATAAACTGAAACCTTGCTTATTTGGCCCATGTTGGCCTTTGAGTTTGAACTCCTGTACCGGAGTTCCGGCTGCCCTGTTTCCACCAGAAGGCAAACAGGTATGCACGTGAGAAATGGGAGGAGGGAGGACTCACATGATGTTCACGGCCACGGCACAGCCCGCTGTTATCAGCATCGTCTTCCCCTTGATCTCATAGTTCCCGGAGATTAGCCGCTCTGTCGCCAGGTACACCAGCACCCCCGTCACCACCCAGATGGACAGCACAGACAGCAGGGCTCCCAGGATCTCTGAGGAAGAGCCAACCCCAACACCCATCTTAGTGTGGAGCCCGAAGTCTGAGGAGGCCCCTGTCCCAAGTCAGGGCTGGGTCTGCACCTTATCCCACCACTCAAACGTCTGACAATATCAGAGCTAGAAGGAGTTTAAGGCATTTAGCTCAAGACTTTGTTTTACATGTAATGAAAATGCCTTTTTAAAATGTATACCTGTTTAAAGCCTGTATCCTCTCCACTTCATTTCTTTGGAAGGTGAACTCCCACCCCCGCCCCCCCAGATTGGGAGTTCCCAGAGGACAGAAGCCAAGTTTAAGGTTATCCTCCCCCATGGAAGTTGCTCTCCCGGCCTCACTCAGGGGATCCACCTAAGAAACCACATCTTGACCTGTCACTCTTCCAACCCCAACCCCATTCAGACCAGGGCCCTCACCAGCTCGCTGCCAGCCGAAGTTCATGGTCTTGGTGGCTGGCCGGGAGGACATCCAGAGAGAGAAGAGGCTGATGAGCATGCTGGCAAAGTCAGTGAGCAGATGGGCTGCATCAGTCATGATTGCCAAGCTGTGTGCTAGGTACCCACCTGCAGGGGAGTGATAAGAATGGAGGGTCCTCGTCTGCTCCCCAAGGAGACACTGATACTCACTGCAAGTACTTTCTCTGAGCCTCAATTTCTACCATCTGTGAAATGGGACTAACAACACCTACTTACAGGGTGAATGTGAAAATCAAGTTCAAATAGGGCCTGGGAAACATAGTAGACATTCAGTAAATGCTCTTTCCTTTCTAGGCATTCAGCCCTTCCCTTAGCTACTAGTTTTGTGTAATCTTGGGCAAATTGCATCGCCTAAATGTACCTGTTTCAAAATCTATAAAATCAGGAGACTAATAGCACCCATGTGACAGCACAAGGTTGTTTTGAGGATCGCATGAGATACATGTATTTAAAAGACTTAACAAAGTATAGGAAATATAGTCCATAATATTGTCCACAATAACTATACATGGTGTCAGATGGGTTCTAGACTTATTGGAGTCATCACTTTGTAAGATATATAAATGTCTAATTACTAGGTCAGACACATGAAACTAATATAATATTGTATGTCTCTAGTAACTGAAAAGTAAAGTTCTTTAAAAAAAAATTTAAAAGGAACATAGAGTCTTCAGTCTTCAGCTATGCCCTTGAACAACACAGGTTTGAGCTGCAGGGGTCCACTCCTATGTGAAGTTTTTTCAATAAATAAAATTAGCGCTTCATATCCACAGATTTCCCAACTGTTTAATTCAACCATCCCCATAGAAAACTGTACTTTCACATCCCCAAACACGGTTTCCTAAACACGGCTTTCCATCTGTGGTTGGTCAAATCCATGGATGAGAAGGGGCCAACTGTTGCTAAGTTTTTAGGGAGTCAAAAGTGACATCTGGATTTTCAACTGTGTGGGTAGACGCCCCTCACCCCCCACCCCCACTCCACTGTTCAAGTATCAACTGTATTAATATTGCTGGAACTTTCAGGAGAAAAGCCTTCTGGATCATCCAGAGTATCCATGTGCCAATTTCATTTAATTAGCACAAAGGTCCTTACCAACGACTTCCCCAATCATGAACACCAGACAGATGGCAGAGGCCACATAGAGCTGGCGCCGCGCCCGCTCCTTCTCGGGGTCACAGCGGCTGCCAAGACCCTTCTGGGAGTGGCAGTAGTGACTGTTCTCCACGTTCAGCTCAATGGATGGCAAGTCCAGCTCAGGTCGTGACACAGAAATCCAGCCAGCCTCATTCTGCCACAGAGATCCCATGTAAGACCTAGCCAGAGAGGAAAGGGTAGACTCAGCTCTGAGATGGGGACGAGGAGGGCTGACCCCAATCCTCTCTCTCCGTGGGGCCTGGGCGTTCCCATGTGTACAGTTAGGGGACTAGCTAGGGACACTCCAAGCTCCAAGGTCCCCAAGGAGCGGCCAGAGGCCCATGTCCGCAGGTGGGTGCTGGGGGAATGACCAGTCTCCAGGAGTCTAAGGGCCCTGCCCCAGATGTTCACTTCTCCCCCATCCCTCCCAGGGCCTGGAGGAGGCCAAGACCTTGGGAAGTGGCCAAAGGGCGGAGTCAGTCCAGTCCAGCACGGAGAAGGAACAGAGCTCAGGCCCTGGCAGCTGGGCAAACCCCCATCTCGTGCACCTGGGGACACGGGTCCTCCCTGGGCCAGGCTGCCCCGGGGCAAAGTTCCTGCGGTCGGCGGGGCTCTCGGCCAAGCTCTCCGAACCCGGGGGCCGTGGTTAGACTCTGTGCTCGGCCGCCAAGGGGGGCTGATCCCCGCGCCACGCTGGGTTTCCCCTCTCCTTCACCTCGCTCCACCCCTCCTGTGTGCACCCAGTCCCAGTGCCGCTCAAACCATCCGGGACGGCAAACCAGGAGGTGCGTCTGCAGCTGCTCAAATCCCCACTCCCGCCCAGGCTCTCGCCTTACCGCGCTCCGGACCGGGCGTCCAACAGACGCTGCTTGTCCATGGTCTTCATGCGGCCCCGCGCTGGGGCGGGAAGCCGCGCGCCGACTCCCGCGCTGAGACCTGGA